ACCCTAAGAATAAGGCAACTTCTCCCAGTGTTGAGATGAACTACCCACTCTAATGAGATGTCCAGTCTGGAAAGGACGTCGCCACAGATTTTTCTGTTTGCCTGGCCTCCTCTTTTCTCCTAACTCTGTGTGATTGCCTTCAGGTACTGTTTATTGACCTGGAACATCAAAAGAGATTTGATTTGGAAGGCTGAAGCAGGAGGACTGATTGAGGCCAGGAGTTTGAGACCAGACTGAGCAACACAGTAAGACCCTGTCTTTACAGAAAATTTAGAAATTAGCTGGGCATGGTGGCACATGCCTATAGTCCCAGCTACTCAGTTAATATCAATGATGAAAATACACACAACTGATGAAACAATGGAAGGGAAAAAAATAAAATTCTGTTAGTTAATGGTCATCTAGAACTGAATAGTAGGGTAAAACTCATATACTACATTATACCCATTTCTAAGAAAATAGTGTAATAGCCTGAGAACTAAGTACAGGAAATCCTGGCAGATTCTCACTGATAAATACTAATGAGAAAAACAAGATTTCCTAGAAAAAGCTATCTTTAAAAGGGATGAAGTTCATATTGTTTAGCATCTCTTTCTTAAAATATCAGGTTAATTTGAGCATATAAAGAATTAGGTTACAATGTTTACATTTGTTAGGTATAGTCCCCATTGTAATTGTGGCCCACCCCCCCTTACACCATGCCCATTAAGTGCAAGTACACTAATCCCCCTCCTTTTTTTTTTTTTTTTTTATACAGGGTCTTGCTCTGTTGCCTGCGCTGAAGTACAATAGAATCATAAAAACTCATTGCAACCTCACACTCCTGAGTTTAAGTAATCCTCCTGCCTCTGCCTCCCAAATTCCTGGGATTATAGGCATAATCCCTGGCCTCTTTTGATCATTTAGTCAGTTGTATAAAGATAGAGGAGTCTATTTCCTTACCCACACTCAAACACTGGAGGATAATAAAAATTCATTAAAGATAGGAATGTATCTTCTGTTAGATTGCCATCTGAGACCCCCAAAAGGCACAATTTGTGTCCCAGCAGTCAAGTCATGAGTAAGGTGGGAACAACGTGAACCGAATCTCAGAAGAGACTGAGAAGTCTGGAAAAACAGCACTACCAATTGCCAGGTGAAGGGTCTCCGGAGCTTAGTAGGAAGGATTTGTACCTCATCTCAAATAGCCCACAATGTTCTTCCCTACTGCATAGGTAGCAATAATGGATCAAGAGCACATCCTGGGTGAAAAATGAATTTAAAAAGAATGAAATTTGAGTCCATCCTAGGCAACATAGCAAGACCGCATCTCTAAAAAGAAAAAAAAAAAATTAAAATAGGACCAGAGAATCTACTGGGATTGGTTACACGCAAGGCATTTATACAGAATTTGAACAGATGATAATTTGATCTTCTAAGATGCTACTGTCAGTAAGCACTATTCTATCACATAGCAGGCTACTGAGATGCTGTTTATAAAATATATTGCATTGATCTCTGGGAGTTCCACTTAAGAAAACTATCTGGGCCAGGTATGGTGGCTCACCCATGTAATCCTAGCACTCTGGGAGGCTGAGACAGGTGGATTGCTTGAGGTCAGGAGTTTGAGACCAGCCTAAGCAAAAGTGAGACCCCATCTCTACTAAATATAGAAAAACTAGCTGGGTACTGTGGTGGGCATCTGTAATCCCAGCTACTCAGGAGGCTAAGGCAGGAGGATTGATTGAGTCTAGGAGTTTGGGGTTGCTGTGAGCTATGATACCACTGCACTCTACCCAAGGCGACAGATTGAGACTCTGTCTCTACTCCTTAAAAAAAAAAAAAGAAGAAGAAGAAAACTATCTGCCTTAAGGGTAACTGGGATATTCCACATCAGAATAAGCTTAAATTAAAATGTAATGAAGATTCATAGTCTGACCTTGGAATCTTGATGGAAACAAGACAAACTATAAATACAGATTTTTCCCTGCATAGATGCAGAAGACCTCAGAAGAACCATGTTTAGGAATGAAGATTCCTAAATCTGCCTGGAGATCAACTTTTGGAATAGTGGAATGAAGACCTCTGTGAACTTATTCTCCCACAGTGCAAATGCTGACCGACCACTAAAACTAACCATTTTAGAATTTTGGAAATTAACCAAAGCCAAAGAACAATCAGAATTGTCTATCCAAGAGAAACTATGACCTTTGGTAAGACAGTGATGTCTTTGATATTTTAACTTGTGGATGAGATGCTATTCCCATTTATCCTCCCTACCCAGTTCCATAGTGGCAGCCACAGAAAGCCAGTAGTCTCATAACCAGTGGCAAGGACTGACATCTTATAGAGCTCAGTTAAAAGAAACATGCCCTGAGCACAGTTAATATTTTGTTCAAACTTGAAGCACTCTGGAAAATTTCTATTTCTAGAGAGCTGTGACTATTTGATTTGACTCAGAACTCAACTTAGCAGAAAAAAATGCCTTACCTTGGCACATTATCACAATAATAGTCATCTGCTGGCAACATTGAAGCTTCTTGAGACTGTATTTACAGTTGGGGTAATCCAGAGACAGGCTAGGAATTTAAAAGTATATCCTGGGCTGGGCGGAATGGCTCACATGTGTAATCCTAGCACTCTTGGAGGCTGAGGCAGAAGGATCGCTTGAGCTTGGCTTGAGACCAGCCTGAGCAAGAGCAAGACCCTGTCTATACT